CTCCATCCATCCATCCATCCATCCATCCATCCATCCATCCATCCATCCATCCATCCATCCATCCATCCATCCATCCATCATCTTCTGCTTGTTCCGAAGACAGTCGTGGGGGCAACAGCTGGAGCAGGGAGTCCCAGACATTTCTTTCCACAGCCACCTCTTCCAGCTCTTCTGGGAGGATTCCAAGGTGTCCCCAGACCAACCCAGTGATAGTCTCTCCAGTGTGTCCTGGGTCTTCCTCGGGATCTCCTTCCAGTTGGCCATACCCGAAGCACCTCCCTAGGGAGGCGCCCCGGGGGCATCCTTACCAGATGCCTGAACCACCTCAGCTGGCTCCTCTCGATGTGGAGGAGCAGCGGCTTTACTCTGAGTCTCTTCTGGATAACTGAATTTCTCACCCTATCTGTAAGGGAGAGTCCAGCTACTCGGTGGAGGAAACATTTCAACCACCTGTATCCACTATCTCATTCTTTCATTCACTACCCAGAGCTCATGACCATAGGTGAGGGTAGGAACGTAGCCTGACCAGTAAACAGAGCTTTGCCTTACAGCTCAGTTACCTCTTCACCACAACGGACTGGTACAGAGTCCACAATACTGCAGATGCTGCATCAATCCATCTGCCAATCTCACACTCCATTCTCCCCTCACTTGTGAACAAAACCCCAAGATACTTGAACTCCTCTACTTGAGGAAGAGCCTCACCCTCAACCTGAAGAGAGCATTCCACCCTTTTCCGTTTCAGGACCATGGTCTCAGATTTGGAGGTGCTGATTCTCATCCCAGCCTCTTCACACTCAGTTGCGAACTGCTCCAGTGAGAACTGAAGATCACGGCATGATGACGCCAACAGGACCACATCATCTGAAAAGAGCAGAGATGGAATCCTGAGGCCACCAAACCAGAAACCCTCCGCCAGCTGGCTGCACCGAGAAATTCTGTCTATTTTTTCATTTACCCTTTATTTATACATGTAGTCTCCTTGAGTCACGAGAACTCATTTTCATGTGAGACCTGTTTTTGGGAGCAGATGGAATTCTGTCCATAAAAGTTATGAACAGAATCAGCAGCCCTGGCGGAGTCCAACTCCCAACCTGAAGGGATCTGACTTGCTACCAGCAATGCAAACCAAACTCTCACACCACTTGTATAGGGACTGAACAGCCTGTAGCAACGGGCCCCCAATCCCTTACTCATGGAGCACCCCCCCCCACAGTGTACCCCGAGGAACACGGTCGAATGCCTTCTCCAAGTCCACAAAACATGTAGACTGGATGGGCAAACTCCCATGACCCCTCAAGGATCTTAGTGAGGGTAAAGAGCTGATCCAATCTTCCACAGCCAGGACAGAATCTATATCGTTCCTCCTGGATCTGAGGTTCGACTAACGATCAGACTCACTTCTCCAATACCTCTGAATAGACCTTACCAGTGTTTTGTTACATACTGTATATATTTTAAATAAGGCAAAGTTAGTTTGTAAGATATCTATATCTTAATAATAGTGACAAACAAACTAATCTACACTATTTTAAATAGCTTTCAAAGAGTTGCTGGGGTTGTTCCATAATTTATGATAATAAACATAAAAGTCTGATCTACTTATTTAGATTTTTTTTATCTTAATCTTGAAATGAAAACTAAACCAAAAATAAATCCGTCTAACTGGTGTTATGATGCTGCTGTAGGTGTTTTCCAAGTTAAAGTTCAGAGTTTGTCTTTAGCATTTGATGTCAAAAACTTTTATGTTTTGGTCTTGTAGTTATTATTTTGACTTGTGGATTCAGAACCTTTTCATGTTCATAACAGAAAAGTTTCAGTTTCAGCTGTAAATGTACTTTGCTGCTGCTTTGTCACATCTGGTCTTTGTTGTTCTGCACACCTGTTTTTCATGCTCATTACCTTCCTGTGTGCAAATACTCCTAAAACTTTTCTATGTTACACAAATGTTGTGTTTTATAAACCTTACAGTTGTTTTTTGTGGCGACTGTTTAGATTACAGTAAGAAGTCATCAATTAAATATTCAGTCATTGCAGAACACATGTTTTTTTGGAGTTTGCTCACAAAAAAAAACCTAAAACATTTTCACCACATCTTTTGCCCTGGTACAAAATTATCAGCTAATTTGTTTTCAGTGTGGTCATATCAAAATATCAAGCTGTCATAAATGGGTGGAGATATTTAAATCATTGGTGTTACCAATAGTTGCCTCCAAAAAAGGCTTGCAGCAACCATTGCTTTACATTAAATTGCCTCACTTGAAATTAAATTGCTGATGAGATAATTAAACAGTTTTCCAAATCACCACCAGCCCAAGGTTAGAGGTTCAGCTGTGTATGTTCGAGTGTCCATCAAGCTCCAGGATTGTTTATTTCTTGAGCCACATAAATTTGCAATTAGTTCAGACGTACAACATCAGCAGCAGGTGAGTGTGAACGCATCTGAGGCAAAGACTTTAGGACAACTAAATGACAAGAAGGGAAACAAAAATCTTTATTTTATTTTTTTAATTCACCAAGGACAGACTAAAAATCTGCAGGGAGCACGCAGACTTATCAGCAGAAGAAAAAAATCCTCCTGATCAGTCCTCGTTTATTAGTTTGGAGCTTATGGAAAATCTTTTGTCCAGAGAAGAAAAGACAAATTCTACCACAGGTTCTGTCACACCAACGAGTGGAGCATCCTATCAATGTTCCACATGTTGCTCCTCACCCAACGTACCAAGCTTATGCACGGTTCAACCCAGGAACACTGCCGTGAATAAATAGTGGTGTCAACGTTTTCTCCAAGAGCACCTTCTTTTAACAATCAAGGAACAATTTCTTGATTTCTGAGGATTTTCCAGTGCGATGGGCCACCATGTCACAACATAAACCATTACAACAAAGTGGCTCACAGAATATATCACCAACATTTTTGATCATCTTTGATTTGAACCCTTTTAAGATCTTATGGATCACATTCAAATACTGGCAGAATGGCCAAATCAGATATGAGCTAAAATTCAAATCTGATTAAAATACACCACAGAATAAAAAGTGTTCATAGTTTAAATAACGGGCAACAAACAGCGACATGTGTTGCAAACCACAGGGTTGGTCCAGTCAAGATGTGTCAACCAGATACTATATTTAAGTTCTGCTTGTAAATAGTGGACATAATTTTTACGAAGCAGCAGATAATGTCTGGACTTAAATCCAGAACCATTTGCCGACATTATACCACGATTTCCAAGTTGATCTTGGTGGGAAGTGTTTGTGTAGGTGAGTCTAACGCGACCTGTGGAAGTAGAATGCTGACTCACCAAGAACCTGTCAAGATATTTAAATCTGATATGGTAGCTGGCCCGCCACCACCAAAATGACTGGTTTTTACAGCATCTCTCAGTGATTGAGTGGGTTGCCATAGTGATAAGTGGGTTTCCCTGGAGATAAGCATTCTGCTGATGGACAGAAGATGTTAGAGAGTGGAGGGGAGGGAGGACTGATAAGAAATCTTTTCGGTTTTATCTGCAGTCGCTGTCAACGACTATTTTTTTCTCTTCTTTTGTCTTTCTATATATTAGTTTTGTTCTATCAACAGTGTTATTAGACAAAGATGGCAAGGTCTTCATTGAGTCTGATTGGTCATGCCCAGGTCACCTCCTGGTCAAATCTGTAGACACACATTAGGACAAACACAGCCACACACAGAGTGTCTTTGCTTTGACAGAGGCGTCAGACTGTGTCCAATCAATTTAGTGCTTGGCCTGCTATAGACATGCACTGGTAATCAGTGAAACCATCACTGTGTTTGAACTCTGTCTCTTTGTCTTACTGTTTGATTGGGGTGCTTTAATGAAAGCTGGTGAAAGAGAGCAGAGGACAGGGAGATTAAAATTGAAGTCTCACCCTGTGTGTCTTTCTCTTTCACTTTGAGGTGTGTGTGTGTGTTTGCCCGCTCTTCCACTCCTCTTGTTGGGGACGTTACGTGCCTCGTGTCTTAACTAGAGGAACAACAGTTGGCCATGAATCCTAAGTTTGCTCCTTTCTGCACCTCCTTCCTCTCCTTTCTCATTCTCCATACCCTGCTACCTTTTCATCCCACTCTATGGTTGTATGTAGAGGTTCCCATGGCAACGCTGAGCCCATCCAAAGTGACCGTAAAGGAAGGGGAGAACGTGGAACTGTCCTGTACCACCTCTGGTGTGCCCTCGCCTGAGCTGATCTGGAACATGGTGCTGGTCTCCAACTATGAGGTTAGCTCACACCCAAACACCCACACCAGTGCAGTTGTGTTATCAATGTTGTGACTGTGTGTAAAAGCCAAATATTTTGGGTACTCATTTACAATAAGGCTCCCCTTATAGATGGTTTATAAATAGTTTATAGATACATTATTAATCCCTCTATAAACACTTTATAAATAATTAATAACTGCTTATTATGCATTAATTAAGAGTGACAAAGACAAAATTGACCAGTTTCTTGCCAAATAGCGAGCCAAATCTGTTAATTTATATATTTCATCTAGAGTTGTTGTATTAAACATTTCAAACTAAGTTTATACCTTGTAACCCCAATAAGCATTTGTAAACCAATTTTTTTAGCATATAATATTGTACTTTATCACTGCATTATAAGTATCTACAATTAATATTATATGCTAAAATACATAGTTTTACAAATACTTATTGTGCTTATAAGTTAATTACTTAGTCTGAAATGTTTGCAGATGACCGCTGGTTCTGAGCCTGGTTCTGCTAAAAGGTTCTTCTTCATGAGATAGTTTTTCCTTTCCACTGTCGCCTTCATGCTTGCTCAAGATGAGAGTTCTGCGATGGAGTTAAATTCAAAGCAGTCTGCTCCTCAGATAAATAGTGTTAACTTCTTATTTTTATATATGAATGTTTCTGTTCAGTGCCCTGAGATGACTTCTGTTGTGACTTGGCGCTATATAAATAAACTGAATTGAATTTAATATAACAACTCTAGATGAAAGATACAGGTGAACAGATTTGGCTCACTGGCAAGAAACTGGTCAATTTTGTCTCTCTGTCACACTTAATTAATGCATAATAAACAATTATTAATTATTTAAAGTGTTTATAGAGGAATTAATAGCATATCTATTTATTAGCCATCTATAAGGGGAGCCTTATTGTAAAGTGGTACCATATTTTGCATGCAAAAGGAGAATTTATCAAGGTGATAGTTCCAATATTTTCAAGTGGGCGAAAGGTTAGACACAACATCATACTGTCCAAATGTTTTTTTTTTCAAAAGATACATTTGAAACTTTTAAATCTTTTCAGTGTTTGTTTAGATTGTGGTTATTTTCAAGTGCAAATAGCAGAAGGCAGTTTAGCCCTTCAAGTGAAGTGTACTAACATTTCTGCTGAAGTAAATGTGCAATGCTTAAATTGGTGGTGATGTATTAGTTTATACAATAATGCTTGCATAAAAAAAAAAGACGTTTTTGAAGTTTAGGTTGTTTTGAGATTACAGCACTCCACTTCTATCTTTAAACATTCTTTTAACACTAATATTCCAAACAGATGTTTTTCAAAGAAACCTTTTCACAGAATCCTGCTTCATTATGTTTGAACTGTCTTTTTAATAATGTTTGCCGTTTGCAACTTTTCCAGTTGTTCACAAAGTCAGTTATTAAAGAAGTGAACATTATCTTTTTTATTGAAATGATAGGGTTCAACATTTATTGATCTACTGATGTTTATAAAAACAAAACAAACAAAATTATACTCTAACATTGGTATTTATTTGAGGCAAAGCATGAGTAACATTTATGCAGTGTTGTGCAAGTTACCGATTTCAAAGCTCCGCTCATATAGAATGAAACCGAGATAGTTCATGTTCAAAGCTCACCACTTAAAAATATGAACTTAATAAAAAACCCTAAACCTTATTATGTTTAGATGGCTTCACGTGTTCACTTACATATTAATTGTGCTACGAAAAGTCATATTTATGACCTGATTATCATTTGTTTGCTCCTCTCCCTTGTTCTGCGTTCACATACATTTTATACTGATCAAACTCTTTGTAAAATTGCTTTTATTCATATTTTTTTACTCAGAAAAAATATATAAATCTAAAATTCTGACTGAAAAGTGGGTCGTAAGCCATGTTCAAACCACTACAAGCTCGACGCTCTTGCTTTAAAAGAATCTTGATTTTTATTTAAGCACAATTTCAGCAGATACCCCCCCCCCCCCCCCCCCATCTATTGTGGAACATCATTTTAAAATAACACCACAGATTAATTCACACAAAGAGGTTATGATCATTTTATTGCCTTCTTTTTGTTTCGCAGATCGCAACGTCAGGCCAGATTTCGGTGATGCGGCTGTCCAACCTGTCGTCGCTGGATCACAACAGTAAAATCACCTGCTCAGCTGAAAACATTGTTGGAGGGAGGGAGTCGTCTCTGCTGCTTGATATCCTCTGTACGTTTACCATCTGCTCCAATTAAAAGAAGATTAACATGTCTAAACAGTAAAACCTGACAAGCCTCCAGTTCCTATTTAGATTTGCTCGACTTCACACAGTTTCTCTAAAACTTTACTTTTTCCTCCATATTTTCAGTTCCTCCTAAAATCACAAAACTGAGTGATGCAATCTCCGACCATCACTGGTGTATCCCCTTCAGCGTGGCAGGTATGAAAAAAATCCCACACAGTAATCTCATTTAGTTACATTTTGATGTTATTTATCATCCTCGTCCTAAGCCTGTGTGTGTTAATGCAGCATTAGCAAAATACTTCATGAACAGTGGATGCATTTTATAAACATTTCTGTAAAGTAACCACTGATTACACATTTACAACTGAATGGATTTAGGAGTCAATCAAATTCAAAACAGCTGCTGATACTTTGAATTCTACACATTGTGTGACATCTTTGTGTAAAAAAACAACATCTATTGGATTCAACCCCGTTTTTGTTGGTAAAATATTTTACAAACTAAAGTAGTCCCTCGTTTATTGTGGGTGCTTGGTTCCGAACCCCCAGCAGTAAGTGAAATTCCACAAAGTAGCAACATTATATTTATTTTAGTATTTATATGTATTTTAAGTCTTTAGAAACCTTTTGCACATGGTTGCATTGTTCTAAATGCTTGAACCTACATTATTTTAACAACATACGTATATGTAGCTACAAAATTTTAGGTACCAACCGGACTCTGCAGAACCCAGCAACAGCTCTCGGTGCCGTCCAACTTTGTTCTGGTCTGACTCGGATCGCTTCTGTAGACCTACCCTACAGCAATGACGCTCACAATCAATGTTCTTGACTCTTAAACCTACTAATTTTAACAACATACTTAAATGTAGCTAATAAATTTTACTTACAAGGGTGTCCCCACAGAGGTCTACATGGACCGGCAAGGAGTTCTTGGGTTCACTGCTGAGTCTGGAGGTCTGGTTATGGTCCAGTTCAGTGCAGCGCTAGAGTGCTGGGGGGGACCTTTGGTTGGCCAGCGCGGGTCTAAGTCTGGATGAAAAAAGTCCCGATGTGCTTTAGAAACTACTTGGGACCTTTGGCGCGTGTCTCCGCTCGGAAGTCCTCTTGCGTGGACTACCAGCTCTCAAGATTTACCAATGGGTCTGGAGGTCTGGTCCTGCACTGGTTCTGCTCCGCTTCTGCTCTGGTTCGGTGGGTTCAGTGCGGCTTCTCTGCATCCGCTGGGTGCTGATCAGATCAAAACTTTACCTCTGTTTTTTCAGCAGAAGGAAACGGGGCTTCTGTTGCCTTTTGGGAAATGCGGTCGTTATGAGCGGGAATACAGTGTAGGCTTACTGAGAGAAACTACAAAATGGCGGCGCCTGTCAGAAGTATTTTATTTTTTCATTAACTTTTTATTGTACAGTACTTTATCCAATACTGTCCCAGTCACATGAATAATATTACAATTGATAATTATGTGTCCTGTGCAATTTTTAAAAATATTTATTTATTTATTTTTGGTTGTACAATATTATGGACTGTACATCCACAAACAGCAATAGAGCAAGTCCGCGAAAGTCAAACCGTGAAGTAGCGAGGGACTACTGTACTACACAAATTTTAATGAAAGCTTCAGAACATAATCCCTGGATGCACATCTACAACTGAATAACTTTTGGAGTTAACTCAGTTCAAGATGGCCACTAAAGCTAATCAACCTTAGCTAGCTCAAACCACTCATTTCACAGACATTGAGCTAATTTTGATGTGATTGTAGCAGAGAGTCATCCTTCACATCTATTTCGAGTTCTAATGGATCATGCACGATTTTGCAATATCGCACGAGATTAAGCATAGTCGTTTACAAAGTTTGACCAAAACAGCTCAAGCTTAGTTTCTTCTCAATTTAAATGTCTTTTGTTTAAAACTCAAGCATGAAAGGCGACAGGTGACATGCGTTCCTTCAAGAAATGCTAGATCTTTTTATGCTTAATTGAACAAATTCACAGTCATAATAGCACAAATATAAAATGTTCTGCTACTGAGATATGGTGAACCAAATTAAAATCACTCATTTGTTTTAATATATGTACTTTATGTACTTTACAGCAAACCCCCAGCCTGATTTTCAGTGGTATCGGGATAATAAGGAGGTGGAGGAGGGCAACTACATCATGACAATGATCCATGACGTCACAGAGAGAGAATACCACGGCTGTCTGCAGCTGGACAACCCTACACACATCTTCAACGGGATGTACACGCTGGTGGTTCGAAACGCATACGGCTCAGACCAAAAGCAGGTCCAAGCTCACTTCATGGAACAGCCCTGGGATGGTGAGGAGCAAAACTCACTTATTCTCTGTTTTACTTTATCATATTGGACTTATATCCTGGAGCAAACTCATTTTTTTTTATTTGGAAAGAAAAGGCACAAAAAAAAAAATAAGTTTGATCCAGGCTAGTAGTCCAATGTGATAAAGTAAAACAGAGGATAAGGCAGTTTTTCTCCTC